CATAAGATTAACGCCCTCTATACTTAAAATAGAGGTCATCCCATAAATAAAAAGCAGAAGCAATGAAAGTTCATATTCATGTAAAAGATGTCAGCTACCTGGATAAATTATTTATACCCATGAATCGATGCATTTTTAAACGCTAGACGGCGGGGGAGGGGGTGTAGGTTGTTGTTCTCTTATCTACCTGTCCGGTCTGTTCACGATCACGATTTTCAAAAATACAGCGCCTCTAATTTTAATGTACTACGCTATGCAGTATTCAATTCCTGATTTTAAAGGCAGTATCCGTTAGTGAACAAGGTCCAGGCGCAAATACAGGGGGAAGGGGGGGGGGGAAACCGGCCCTGCCCGCCCCCCCCCCCCTCCCCTGGCAAAAAAAGGAAAACAAATAATTGTGACTAGAAATGTTCCCCTTTTTATTTTGCTCAAGGGGGGATGTTGAGTGAAATAGCGGCCGGCCCGATTTTCAAATTTCCGGGGGCAAAACAAAGAGTGCTCACCCCCCCCCCCCCCCACTGAGCGAAATATCGGCCGGCACGATTTCCAAATTTCAGCACACTAAATTTCAAATTGATTTCAAATTTGGGCCTCCACCCCCCCCCCCCCCCCCCCCCCCCACTAAGAAATCCTAGATCCTAGAGGTTATTTGTTTGCACGGGAAACAAATTTGTAGTTTTGTGTCAAAAAATCATTTCCTCTTTTCATGCAAAAACTAATGGTTTTCAGGGTTACACAAATCAATATGGAGAGAGAAAGCCGAGTAGGAGAGGGAGAAGGAACATGAGAGTCAGAAAGAGAGACGCAGAGAAAGGTTTGGCGAGAGAGAGAGAGAGAATGAGGAAGAGAGGGAGAGGAAAAAAGAGAGAGAGAGAGAGAGAGAAGGAGAACCCGAGAGAGAGAGAGAGAGAGAGAGAGTGAGAGAGCATTAAAGAGAGGGAGAGAGAGAGAAAGAGAAAAACGAGAGAGAGAGAGAGAGGGAGAGAGAGAGAGAGAGAATGACAGATAGCCATATGCCTCATCCAGCCTTTTTTCCTTCCCTTTATCTCCTCTTTTCCTTTTTTCTTTCCCTTTCCTTCCTTCTCTTTTATTTTTTTATTTATTTATTTTTTTTCGGGGGGGGGGGGGGGAGAGGCAACAGCCTGGGAGGCAAGTCTCCCCCCCCCCCCCCGATCTCCTTCTTCCCTCTTTTCTTTTCTTCTTTTCTCTTCTTTTTTCCCTTTCTCTCCTCTTTCCCTTTCCCTTCTTTTCCTTATCTCTCTCTCCTTATTTTTTTTTTGGCGGGGGGGGGGGCAAGGCCCGCTCGTCCCCCCCCCCCCTGGATCCGCGCCTGCTATTGTATATCCTATAAAATCATGTTCAGATTACGAATAACATCTTTGTAATGCTTGCACATTTCAATGAGTGACGCACGAGGCCAATTTTATTGCCTAAAGCCACCATCACACCGAACTAGTTCTCAATACGTTCTGGAAAATGTTGACAAACGGGCTCAAACTGTGTGCGAACGGAGTTGAACGTAGTAGTAACTGTTAACGATCTATCTAAGAACTTCATGGACGGGCTCAGATTGGCTATACGGGAGAGTGCTCGATCCAGAACTTTGAGCCTGTTCAAAATTGTCCCCGTCCTGCAATTAGACGGAGTGACAACGTACTTAAAACGAAGAGGGCGTACTACAAACAGACTGATTGCCGTATGATGAACGGAATAGGCCATTTTCATAAGGAAACCAAATTTAATGCATAGATCTTTGTGAAGTGCCTCAATACAAACTATTTCATTCACCTGATAAGAATAATAGTATTTCAATAGACAGAATCCTGACTGCATACATTAGTTGTTGCCAGGTTGGACAAACATTATGGCTTGACCTACCTAGCAACACTTAATATATGCAGTTGCATTCTGACTATTGAAATACTATTATTCCTATCAGGTGAATGAAATAATTTGTATTAAGGCACTTAACAAAGACCTATATGCATTAAATTGTGTTACATTACGAAAATGGCCTATTGCCGTTCTTCGATCCTAATTAGAAAGTGATGTGGTCGAGCCACAATAAGCAGCAGCAGCTAAGCCCCCATCACACCAAACTAGCTCTCACTACGTTCCGGAACCGTTCAGATTACGAATTACATCTTTGTAATGGTTGCACATTTCAATAAATGACGCACGAGGCCAATTTAATTATTTTAGGTATATACCCCTCCGCCCAGCCATAACTCTCTCTCTCTCTCTCCCTCTCCCTCTCCCTCTTTCTATCTCAGCAAAATTACCTAAACAAAAATGATTACAATTTAATAAAAAAATCCAATTATAAATAACGGCTCCATTTATCCATTATTTTGAAAGGGCAGCTAGTTTGGTCATGGACCTATTACTTAAAGTTGATGTTTATTGATTTTAAAAACTAACTTAATTTCATTATTGCAAAGTTGAAACGTTGATTCGACAAGGTTATCAAAATTCAATACTTGGAAACATTCGAAATAATGATTATTATAAATTATAAAACGCTTAAATACAGCCCCGTCATAGCACCTGAAGAGCTCCCCGAACGCTGCTGAGATGCGTGAGATCACAGTATGGACATGACTTGCACAAGCAGACGATGTCCCATGACATCTCACACATTTTCAGTGCCTGTGTTTTCATCTTTTCTTGAGTTCTTTCTCTTACTCCACTACCGTCAGGCTAAATGTATAATCTATTGCCTCACTCTTAACCCTGCACATGGTTTTATTTTGATGACAAATGCAGCGATACAAAAATAAAGGAATTTGTCGCTTGTAAACAAATAAGACGCCATTGAATATTCAGCTGGACACACCGCGGTATGTTCGGCGTTTCAAGAGGGAACAAATGCCGTCCTCAACATCGTTCCGGGGGTTTTCAATTCGAAAGTCTGGTTTCTTTGACTGTTAATTAACCCCTATCCTGTGTATTTACAAGCAAAAGATTTTAGTTATCGGAATCGGGTCATATCCCCTTTTGAATGGTTTGACATGCCATCACATTTATATACACTAAACTCATTATAATTTGACAAATAAAAGCTTTGCAATTATGTTCATTCTCTATGGGATGTCGTCTGCTTGGGCAGTATTGGTCCATATAGTGACGTCATTAAAACATCTTTATTTTTTCGGCGAATCTCTCGTATATCCCAGCTGCTATGCCGGTGGTTGTATTTGTATTTTTATAAATCACCCGATATGTAGTTGACCTAAAACTTGTACGATGGCCATCTGTTAGCTTACCAGTTTCTAGTCATACATTAGTTGACATATTTGTGATTTTCTTTGAAGTTCAACTTTAAGGATGGACTTTCGACGTGATTCTTTCTTTGTTCCAAAGAAATCCGCCGCCTTTTGATTATGTGCAACTTAATAAGAACATTCAGCGTAATAGGTTCATGGTTTGGTAAAGTAAAAGGTTCAGATCCGGTAAAGATGAAAATTAATTTGTGAGGCTGAGCATTTTCATTCTTATATGGGAAGTTATCATAGTTTTCAGATCGCATGAAAAGGATTACTCTTAAAATGCCCTTATCTTTTAAATATGTCAAGACACATTTTGAAGTGTGGACCAAATTTTGATGCCACATAAGTGTGTCATGTACTCTGTGTGCAGTGCTTTCTCTCTCTCTATATAATAGATATCCCGGCGAAATTCGCGAGTTTGTCATTCGAATTGATTTACTTTGCATTTTAATCAGTTTAATAGCGCAGATCGTTTTTGTATTTAATTTGGGATTTTGGTCGAAGGGTTTGATAGATCTGTCATTCGATTTAGAAACTGCTCAACTAGCATTCAAATTAATCGTCACTTGTCGAGGTGTCATTTTATCATTTAAATCAACACCTGTTACTCGTATTCGAAATGTTAGGGGGAAGAAATGCAACACACTTTTACAGTTTTTAAATAATGCAACTAAAATGCATGATTTGCCATTGGGGATGCAAGTAATTTTTTTATTTTTAACAATCAAACTTATATGCCGATGAATGTCAGATAAATCTAATAACTATATAAGTGTATATTATGCTAGAAAATAAAATATGATGAAATTCACATGAAAAAAACAATCTTGAAAGAAAAAGAATGACCTATAAAAAGTGTATAATAAACGATAAATGTATATTGAATATCAATTTAAGTGCACAAAGTGCTAATTTGAATGTTACAAATGAATTAGAATGCTACAAGTACACCGTCGCGAAGTCAGAAAATCGTGTTGCGCCAAATCGGATGTCCAAGTGGCGAAAGAAGCACATTGCTCCTGAATGAAACATACATAGATTATCACGAAAACTTCACAGATTTGAAAACTAGAAAAAGGAATATAAACACGAGATAAACCTGACAGCACTAAAACCGTCGAATTTGAATGCAAGACAAATTCATTTTAATGACAAACGAATTTGGCCGGGAAATCCGATTTTATATATTTATACACAGTATACAGTGTGACCCAGAAAAAAAACGTTTTCACTGGCTGCCTGCCGTAGCAACAAGCAGAATTGGGAAAAGATTTAACTCCGTTTCATTGACAATCAGCCATGCATGAAGTCTTTCGTCTATGTCTGATCGTCAATGAAACGGAGTAAAGTCTTTTGCCAATTCTGTGAAAACGAACTTTTTAAATCAAATTATGGAAATGCAAGCATCACTTTAAACAAACAAATTTATCTTGATTTAGATGTCATATGAAAGAGCGAAAATGAACTTTCTAGAAATGGGAATTTTTCTAGAAATTCAGATAGCGCCCGCCAAATGACTTTTCGGTTTCCTTCCTTCAAATTGCTTTTAATCACTCATGCGTGAAATATGCATCATATAAGTTGCATCAAATGACAGAGGAGGATCTAAGCTTTACAAATAGTATGTGTCATTTATTAATTATTATTGTGATTAAGTTATGATAAAACATCGATAATTCTCGGTTTCGTTTTTTGGGGGTGTATATATTATGAATAAACGGTCATTTTCAGCAAGAATGAGTCAATACGTTATTTGTTGATGATTCCAAATCTTATCTAAACAACTATATAAAATACCTTCTACAAAATGCTATCACATAGTACTCAAACTTTATATGTCTACGGTTTTGCAATTTTACTGCGTTATTGCGATATCCCTCTGTTCATATGATAGTATGATTCATGAACCACAGTTCCGGGTGGGATGTCGTTCGGGGATATACAACCTATGGAGAAGAAAAGAAAAAAGACAAGGTATAATACCCGACAGTCATGTTATATAAATTAAGTCCATGATGACACCTGTTAGAACAACACAATTACATATACAGTGTGAGTGAAAAAAAGTTTACACTCGGAAGATTGTCATTTATTTTAAAAGTCAGCTAAAAACAAATGATTTTCATACATGTTTTGCAAGAGTGTTATATCCCGAATCGTTTGGTATAATTTTTGTGAGGTATGTGTTCACGCTTGGATGAACAGGAGGCATTTTTTGCGACAGTGCCAAAATCGACTTGCGCCAAAGTATTAAAGTGAGAGAGTGAGAGAGTGAGTTGAAAGTATTGCATTGCATATGCTTTTTTCAGAAGCAAAGTCACACACACACACACACGCACTCACATAACACATTTAGATGCAGACTGACCGAGTCCGTTGGGAGAAACAATTCAATGCACCAAACTTTTATCATGGCATTATGATATTTATTTGGAAATTTGCGATTTTACAGAAATGTTCATTACGTAATAATGACTTGGCGGCGAGTATGTTTCATTTATCTGAGTGTGCGAGTGCGCGGAAGTGTGTCTCTGTGTGAGTGTGCGTGTGTGTGCGTGCTTGTGTACGTGTGAGCGTGTGTGTTTGTGACTGACTGAGTGGGACTCTGTGTGTGTTTTAATATGTATGGCATGATTAATTTTGTTAGGTATGTTACTTATATCCTAATCGTTTATTCAAACATCATATAGGTATCAGTTTGTCGATTTTTGCACTCTCTTAAACAATGTCTCCTGTTCATCCAAGCACTACCACATGCCACACAAAAATGATACGAAACGATTTGGGATGAAACATTCTTCGATATAAAGATGAAAAATAATTTACTGTTCATAAATAATGAAGAATTTTCTAGGTGTAAACTGTTTTTTTGACTCACACTGTAGAGCAAAAGTACCACAATTACCAGTTGTACCATGGTAATACCGTGATAATGCAGAAAAGAACCATGGTTAGCATTGTTACCACCAATTTACCCTTGTTAAATAAACATGGTTATACCATGGGTACTATGGTTCTCGTTTATATGGAAAGAACTGCAACATACTGATCAAAAAAGGACATGACCCGGATTGGCCACAAAATTGTCGTTTTGGAGTCGATATGGAGTCTGGGTTGTGGAGTGGCTGAGGTATTACTGATTATAACTTGCATGTATAACCTTGACAACTACCCCTGGTGTCTTTAAATAAATTCAGGAAGTTTCACACGATTTATAAATTTAAGACAATTATGTCTTACCAGCCAAAGCGAGGATTGCGTCAAGTTGGTCGCGAAGAATCTGAAGTACATTTGTAACCCCCTCAGGACCCTGAAGAAGCAGACAAAATTCATTGTATAGTGATCGTACTAACTAGCAATGGGTCTCTCTCTTACTCTCTCACTCTTTCTAGTTGATCTTTCAATTTTAATGTACATTTAAAAACCGAATCAATGAACATAGAATCAAAATATAAAGAAATAAGAAATATTTTCCTTTTGATGTTGCACAAAAGCAAACTAAAATTTCATATTCCGCACCCTCCAAATTATGAGGCAACAGGGGTCAATTTTTTTACAGATACAGATACGACATAACGTGTTGACCTGATCGGCTCGCCTATATAGCTGAGGCAAATAGCCGTGCTTAATTAATGCAAAGTCATTCTTGTTTTTAGGTCAATAACTTCTGATTTTCAAAGCTTTAGATTTTCGAGTTTTCAGAGAGCTGTTACTCTTCTAGCAAACACTAAAATGGCATACGATTCATATGATTGTAATCTATGGCTTTTTTGTTGGTACATAATTCATCTATTTCATTTTTCAATTCCGACAGGGTCTTTAAACTTTATTTACTGCATTAAAATTGTGTTCCAGTGGCATTCATTGGCCTATATCTATGCAATATTGCTTGCTGCCTATCAGAGCCTAAATTCATATACTCTTTTTCCGAATTGTGGTAAAACAAGATTGTACATTGCTATATATGCCTAATTAATAGAAGCAATCTGCAAATTCACAATTATGTACCAATGATACATTCATCTGTCATGAAAATCATAATGATAAAGAGTAGGATTAAAAGGAGAGCTATAACAAGGGCATGATATATCAAAATGCATATTGTCAAGACTGCTCAAAGTTTTTTAATACTGTCTCATGGATATTAACCTTTATAAAATGAGTTTAAAATGTAATTTAACACTGTTTAGATGTGAGTTTCAGGCGGGCCATGACTCTCACTGCATGCTAGATTATTGTGTACTGATATAAACGGGAAACCTCCTGCATGTGCCAGTGTATGTGAAATATGATGCGATGCACGTGTAAAAATACCGAGAGGAGAAACTAGATAAGGTGCATGGAGTGAGCTTAGAGGAACCAGCTCCCCTCCCAGCCTCTGTCCATTCCCTCTCAATGTACACTCTGCACTCCTGGGCCCTGTTACATGAAACTTACCATTGTTGGGAACTTTCCAACTAATGGTAACTTCCATGGAAACCTTGATTTGACAGTGCCTGTTGAGTAATGTCGCCATATAGTTATATGCCATATCAATGGCAAAGTTACCATCAGTGCAAAGTTTTATGCAATTTTGCCCAGGTCCCCAAGGTTTTTACCTGACAAGCAAGTCCCCACAGGATCGGTCTGCCTAGGAACACGGCCCTTGCACCCCTTCCAAGAGCCTTGAAGACATCAGTTCCTGTCCTGACTCCTCCGTCCATGTAGACCTCAACTCCTCGACCATGTACAGCCTCAACTACCTCGGCCAATGCATCGATCTGTTCAAAAAAGATGTAACAACCATAATAGTGTTAACTCATTGTGACAGATAACATCGACAGCTCTTGTGCCTCTCCCACGAGACTTAAAGACAACAGTTCCCGTCCTTACACCACCATCCATGTAGACCCTGAGAGCTATGTACATCACCGCTAACATAGGTGTAGAGGTGTGGATGTCTAGTGAATACGTCGCCAGACTGTGGATCACATGGTTTGCGGTTCAAGTCCACCGAGGCAATATAACGTCCTTTGGCAAGACATTATTCTACATTTTCCACTCTACATGTTAAATTGGTGCCCAGTAGAATGCGAACGTCGATGTGGTTAGGTTGGCATGTGTGCACTTGTAAAATAACGCCTGGCTGAAATACTCTCCAGGGAGAAGATCGTGTGAACTATCATGTGCGAATGAACAAATATAATCCAATGACCAGGGAGGGGTGATAGTAATGACAAACGTAGTATAAAGCACGATACAAATGTGACTATTAATATTATTATAGGCATGGATTTACATGTACATACTGGAGCAGGTGAGCTTTCCTGCTGTCTTCCACCGTGTGCTGAAACAAGAATCCCATCCACTCCTGCGTTTGCAGCATCTGAAGCAGATTCAGCTGTACATTAATGGAAAAAAGAAAAAAACATTTGATGCCGTTTTTTAGTTTTGTTTATACAGATATTAAAACACAACCTCAAAGAATAGCAAACGGAATCACTCTAAGGCAATTGCAGTATGTTTGTGCGTCACGTATTGAAATGTGCGAACATGACAGTGCCATAATCCACACATTATTTCAATAGGCAATAATTAAGTTTAAACAATTGCCTTTCAATTGATTTCTTGAAATTCTTTGACAATGTGCTATTTGAAGAAAACAAATATGATGTATTTTGCATCTTTCCCCCTAAACTTTGAATGATTGTTGGATATATTTTTCATGCACTTTTCAATATGACATATTGTATGTATTTCTTGGTAATATGATCACAAAGACTTTCACAGAATCAACTTCAACTCAAGAGGGGTGTTTCACAAAGCTCCCAAGTTGAACTTGTTTCTAAGTTAGACTTAACAATTATGGAAAGCGGTTAGCATATTTGAAAATATTTTGTAAAAGTTATTTTTAAAGGCATAAAATGTTGACTCAAATCATTCATAGTTTCTAGTATCAAGGAGATTTCATCTTCTTGACGTGGAATTTATAAAAAGTCTAAAATACTTGATTTCTCGCTTTCGAATATATTTTATTTCAAGGCTACAAATGGCTCTCCATAACTTTGAAGTTCAACTTAGAGTTGAGTTCGACTTAGGATCTTTGTGAAACACTGCAAGGTCTATTTCAATACCATTTTGTATAGCCTGTAGCAATCATACGATACGCCATTGTAATGCTTGCACACTCAATGGATGATGGTTATGGGTATTTTTAAAGGGGAAGTCCAACCGGATATTATCTTGCTTCAAATAAAAGCAGAAAGATGAAACCACTAATTGAAAGTTAGACCAATATCCAATTAAAAAAAAGGATAATTTGAATTTTTGAAGTTGTCATCAGTGAAACACAAATTGGCAACACTATGAGGTATCTTGTGAGCTCCTCTCCAATTTGGTCTGTACAGAAAATTTCATGAACTTTAATTTTTGTTTTTAATTATTGGATATTTTGTATTTGAATGATCGCACTTTAGACAATTCATACATTTTTTGTTTTCAAATGATTTTTGCTCAAACTTTCACTGACCTGTTCCTCTCTTTTTTTCTGCTTCTATCTATCGAAACCAAAGACTTCCCCCTTAAAGGCTTTGTGATCATGTTGGGTGACTTTTGCATGACCCGATTTCCTCAGAATGATTACCTGTAAGTATGCCTTTGCAGACAACGGGCAAAGAAGTGACTTTCTTGATCCATCGTATGTATTCCCAAGTGGCTTTCGGGTTGTACTGCATCTCCCTCAAGTACTCAAAGTGGTTTTTGATGCTCTCCTGTTTGGCAGCACGAGCCGATGGAATGTCTGCCTCATAGACAGGCATGCTTTGTATGCATAAGGAAAAACAAGGAATATTATTCTACAGATATTAGAATGATGTATGTAAAAATTGATCACAATATGTTCTTCAATTGCAGTTAATAAGATAGCAGCAAACGTTAACATACCGATAGGAGGGATGGTTTAACACATGGTCCTGTTCAAATAGTTCCGCCACGGCGCCAACTATACCTAGCACAGGTGAATCAACGGTTACAACAAGTGCCTTGAATCCCAGTTTCTCTGCTTTGCGGATGGTGTATTCTGTGAGCTGGCGATCTGTAAAGGGATAGATGCCCATCCATCGGAGACCTCCTGGTGCTGCCATGGTCACGTCTTCCATGGAAGAGCCTGCATCGCAAGAGAGTACCATTAAGGCTCCTGCAGCTTCTGCAGCTGAAGATTCAAATGAAGGAAAACTGCCAACTTAATTATTATTCACCATCTTCATTGAATTAAAAAAGAAAGTGTTTAAGTCCTGCATACCAAGATTTCATAGGATCTGGTCGTAGTTTATTTTTATCAATAACAAGATACGATAATTATTATAAGCTACTTAAATCCTTGCATTTGATTGGCTGTGAGCAGATATGTCATAGATCTGTGACAGATCGATGCTGTTGATAACAAGTTTTATGAAACTGTTTTCATCATTCTCATAAAACCAATACATATTTGTAATCATTAAGATTTGGAAAAACTACAATTATCGTGAAGTAGACAACACTAAATAAATAAAAATATGTTGCGCAATCAAATCAATAATCACAACCTAAATATCCTTTCCATGAAGTATATAATGGTTTCATGAAATTGCCCTTGCGGAGATTTTTGGTAATGTCTTTGTAATTATGTTATGAATAAAAGAGAACCCGTTGAACATTGCAGTCAAGTATTCAGTACTAAAACTTTAAACCATTTAGTAGGCCTGAACATGATACCTTTTGCCGTTGCCTCTTCGCCGTCAGGATGAGCAAAGAAGTGACAGGCTGTAGGTGAAATACAGATTGGATATGGAATGGACTGACCAAGAACTGCTGTGGCTAGGCTACGCTTAGAAACATCCTGAAGCACCCGGCTTCTTATTCGATATCTGTTGACATGACGAGAACAATCATCAACAGTGAATCATTTGGTAACATGCAGAAAAACTATATGACTATATTAGACCTACTCATTATTTACCTTGGAGGCCGAACCATTGGAAGCTAGGCTATATAGTTCTGTACGTATTTTATTTTGTCTATTCAAATCTGTGCACTGACCAACTCTTACTGAAATTAGGCCTTACTTTGGGAGGGGGTGGAGCCTGGAGGTCGAATGTTTATTTCATGCTATCTATGGCTAATCCCACTTCCAGCATCATTAATGGCTTCCAGTACTTCGCAATTTCTTTCCACAGTCATTACCTGTTCATATTGTTCAACATGCCGATGCTACAATGTATTTATTGAGGAAAGCACATCTTGGAAAGCTTTCAACTTGAAACATGTAACAAACATGTAGGAAAAGCTGAAGGTGCAAAAGTACTTGCAAATGTGTTATTTCCATCTGACATTATTTTTCCTTTGTCCGTTTTTTTAAAGTGTCTTCAATAACTACGGTAAAAGATTGGTCGCATTAAAATACGATTTCTTAATTCCAAAAAATGAACATGAGGCAATTTCAACAGCCTTGTTCATCACCTACTGAAATGTGCAACCAACCTGCATTCATGGATGGAATATATAAGTCTACAAACTACAATAGGCTATATATTGATATAACCCTCGAGTTGATTTCTCGAAGGATTTTGAGATCGTGTTTGACATACCTCGAAAATGCCTCGATGCTATCCTGAAAGCACCACTTTCGTCCCATTCCGTAGTTAAAATACTCCCATGCATCTTTAACCAGTTTCTCTTTGGCGAGTCGCTCATAGTCGAGCACTGTATACAGCTCCATTTTAGACAAACTAGTATGAAAAGTTGAGACCTTTCCACACGATCATTTGAGAACCTTGGACTTATCTGTTTATTCACTTACAATATCCTGTTATTGCCCAGTGACCTCAATTGTTCGCATCGTTCATGGTATATGCTCCTATAAATATTTTCAAAAGAAAGAGAGAGAGGGAGAGAGAGAGAGAGAGAGATGGCGAGAGACAGAAGGGACAGGGACAGGAGTGAGAAAGCTGCACTTTGCACATTATAAATTCGCATTTATTGAAATTACCTTAGGTTGATTTTCGAAAGTTTTTGTGATCGTGATGGAATGTGACTGTGAAATCACTACAAGATTTATAAAAAAAAGTCATAACCAGAATTATACTGTTCATGCAATGCTACAACAGTGCACTTTAACTGTCTGATTTCTTTAAACTACACCACGATGAAAACATAAAAAAACAATAATGACATATTATTTCAAGAAGTAATTTAAAATTATTATAAGCTGGTTTATAGTCACTGTAACATGACTACAACTATACTTTCAAATATCAGTTGAAGGGCGATTCCAATACCCTATTGTATATCCTTAAAAGAAATCGTGTTCGGCTACGAATTACTTATTTGTAATGGTTTCACATTTCAATAAGTGACACATGAGGCCAATTGAATTGTCTTAGGTATACACCCCTCCACCCAGCCATCACTCTCTCTCTCTCCCTCTCCCTCTTTCTATCTCAGCAAAATTGCGTATACAAATGACAAATTCTTTTTAAATTCCAATTATGAATAACAAATTATCGGTTCCATATATCCTACATTATTTTGAAAGGGCAGCTAGTTTGGTCATGGACCTATTACTTAAGGATGGACTTTCGACGTGATTCTTTCTTTGTTCCAAAGATACCCGCCGCCTTTTGATTATGTGCAACTTAATGAGAACATTCATCGTAATAGGTTCATGGTTTGGTTAAGTAAAAGGTTCAGATCCGGTAAAGATGAAAATTAATTTGTGAGCATTTTCATTCTTATATGGGAAGTTATCATAGTTTTCAGGTCGCATGAAAAGGATTACTCTTAAAATGCCCTTATCTTTTAAATATGTCAAGACACATTTTGAAGTGTGGACCAAATCTTGATGCCACATATCTGTGAGCAGTGCTTTCTCTCTATAAATATAGGATATCCCGGCGAAATTCGCGAGTTTGTCATTCGAATTGATTTACTTTGCATTTTAATAAGTTTAGTAGCGCAGATCGTTTTTGTATTTAATTTGGAATTTTGGTCGAAGGGTTTGATAGATCTGTCATTCGATTTAGAAACTGCTCAACTAGCATTCAAATTAATCGTCACTTGTCGAGGTGTCATTTTTATCATTTAAATCAACACCTGTACTCGTATTCGAAATGTTAGGGGGAAGAAATGCAACACACTTTTACAGTTTTTAAATAATGCAACTAAAATGCATGATTTGCCATTGGGGATGCAAGTCGTTTTTTAATTTTTAACAATCAAACTTATATGCCGATGAATGTCAGATAAATCTAATAACTATATAAGTGTATATTATGCTAGAAAATAAAATATGATGAAATCCACATGAAAAAAAACAATCTTGAAAGAAAAAGAATGACCTATAAAAAGTGTATAATAAATGATAAATGTATATTGAATATCAATTTAAGTGCACAAAGTGCTAATTTGAATGTTACAAATGAATTAGAATGCTAAAAGTACACCGTCGCGAAGTCAGAAAATCGTGTTGCGGCAAATCGGATGTCCAAGTGGCGAAAGAAGCACATTGCTCCTGAATGAAACATACATAGATTATCACGAAAACTTCACAGATTTGAAAACTAGAAAAAGGAATATAAACACGAGATAAACCTGACAGCACTAAAACCGTCGAATTTGAATGCAAGACAAATTCATTTTAATGACAAACGAATTTGGCCGGGAAATCCGATTTTATATATTTATACACAGTATACAGTGCGACCCAGAAAAAAAACGTTTTCACCGGCTGCCTGCCGTAGCAACAAGCAGAATTGGAAAAAGCTTTAACTCCGTTTCATTGACAATCAGCCATGCATGAAGTCTTTCGTCTATGTCTGATCGTCAATGAAACGGAGTAAAGTCTTTTGCCAATTCTGTGAAAACGAACTTTTTAAATCAAATTATGGAAATGCAAGCATCACTTTAAACAAACAAATTTATCTTGATTTAGATGTCATATGAAAGAGCGAAAATGAACTTTCTAGAAATGGGAATTTTTCTTCGAAATTCAGATAGCGCCCGCCAAATGACTTTTCGGTTTCCTTCCTTCAAATTGCTTTTAATCACTCATGCGTGAAATATGCATCATATAAGTTGCATCAAATGACAGAGGAGGATCTAAGCTTTACAAATAGTATGTGTCATTTATTAATTATTATTGTGATTAAGTTATGATAAAACATCGATAATTCTCGGTTTCGTTTTTTGGGGGTGTATATATTATGAATAAACGGTCATTTTCAGCAAGAATGAGTCAATACGTTATTTGTTGATGATTCCAAATCTTATCTAAACAAATATATATATATAAAATACCTTCTACAAAATGCTATCACATAGTACTCAAACTTTATATGTCTACGGTTTTGCAATTTTACTGCGTTATTGCGATATCCCTCTGTTCATATGATAGTATGATTCATGAACCACAGTTCCAGGTGGGATGTCGTTCGGGGATATACAACCTATGGAGAAAAAAAGAAAAAAGACAAGGTATAATACCCGACAGTCATGTTATATAAATTAAGTCCATGATGACACCTGTTAGAACAACACAATTACATATACAGTGTGAGTCAAAAAAAAGTTTACACTCGAAAGATTGTCATTTATTTTAAAAGTCAGCTAAAAACAAATTATTTTCATACATGTTTTGAAAGAGTGTTATATCCCGAATCGTTTGGTATAATTTTTGTGAGGTATGTGTTCACGCTTGGATGAACAGGAGGCATTTTTTGCGACAGTGCCAAAATCGACTTGCGCCAAAGTATTACAGTGAGAGAGTGAGAGAGTGAGTTGAAAGTATTGCATTGCATATGCTTTTTTCAGAAGCAAAGTCACACACACACACATACACGCACTCACATAACACATTTATATGCAGACTGACCGAGTCCTTTGGGAGAAACAATTCAATGCACCAAACTTTTATCATGGCATTATGATATTTATTTGGAAATTTGCGATTTTACAGAAATGTTCATTACGTAATTATGACTTGGCGGCGAGTATTTTTCATTTATCTGAGTGTGCGAGTGCGCGGAAGTGTGTCTCTGTGTGAGTGTGCGTGTGTGTGCGTGGTGGTGTACGTGTGAGCGTGTGTGTTTGTGACTGACTAAGTGGGACTCTGTGTGTGTTTTAATATGTATGGCATGATTAATTTTGTTAGGTATGTTACTTATATCCTAATCGCTTATTCAAACATCATATAGGTATCAGTTTGTCGATTTTTGCACTCTCTTAAGCAATGTCTCCTGTTCCTCCAAGCACGACCACATGCCACACAAAAATGATACGAAACGATTTGGGATGAAACATTCTTCGATATAAAGATGAAAAATAATTTACTGTTCATAAATAATGAGCAATTTTCTAGGTGTAAACTGTTTTTTTGACTCACACTGTAGAGCAAAAGTACCACAATTACCAGTTGTACCATGGTAATACCGTGATAATGCAGAAAAGAACCATGGTAAGCATTGGTACCACCAATTTACACTTGTTAAATAAACATGGTTATACCATGGATACTATGGTTCTCATTTATATGGAAAGAACTGCAACATACTGATCAAAAGAGGACATGACCCGGATTGGCCACAAAATTGTCGTTTTGGAGTCGATATGGAGTCTGGGTTGTGGTGTGGCTGAGGTATTACTGATTATAATTTGCATGTATAACCTTGACAACTACCCCTGGTGTCTTTAAATAAATTCAGGAAGTTCCACACGATTTATAAATTTAAGACAATTATGTCTTACCAGCCAAAGCGAGGATTGCGTCAAGTTGGTCGCGAAGAATCTGAAGTACATTTGTAACCCCCTCAGGACCCTGAAGGAGCAGACAAAATTCATTGTATAGTGATCGTACTAACTAGCAATGGGTCTCTCTCTCTCTCTCTCTCTTACTCTCTCACTCTTTCGAGTTGATCTTTCAATTTTAATGTACATTTAAAAACCGAATCAATGAACATAGAATCAAAATATAAAGAAATAAGAAATATTTTCCTTTTGATGTTGCACAAAAGCAAACTAAAATTTCATATTCCGCACCCTCCAAATTATGGGGCAACAGGGGTCAATTTTTTTACAGATACAGTTACGACATAACATGTTGACCTGATCGGCTCGCCTATATAGCTGAGGCAAATAGCCGTGCTTAATTAATGCAAAGTCATTCTTGTTTTTAGGTCTATAACTTCTGATTTTCAAAGCTTTAGATTTCGAGTTTTCAGAGAGCTGTTACTCTTCTAGCAAACACTAAAATGGCATATGATTCATATGATTGTAATCTATGGCTTTTTTGTTGGTACATAATTCATCTATTTCATTTTTCAATTCCGACAGGGTCTTTAAACTTTATTTACTGCATTAAAACTGTGTTCCAGTGGCATTCATTGGCCTATATCTATGCATGATTGCTTGCTGCCTATCAATTATGTACCAATGATACATTCATCTGTCATGAAAATCATAATGATAAAGAGTAGGATTAAAAGGAGAGCTATAACAAGGGCATAATAAATCAAAATGAATATTGTCAAGACTGCTCAAAGTTTTTTAATACTGTCTCATGGATATTAACCTTTATAAAATGAGTTTAAAATGTAATTTAACACTGTTTAGATGTGAGTTTCAGGCGGGCCATGACTCTCACTGCATGCTAGATTATTTTGTACTGATATAAACGGGAAACCTCCTGCATGTGCCAGTGTATGTGAAATATGATGCGATGCACGTGTAAAAATACCGAGAGGAGAAACTAGATAAGGTGCATGGAGTGAGCTTAGAGGAACCAGCTCCCCTCCTAGCCTCTGTCCATTCCCTCTCAATGTACACTCTGCACTCCTGGGCCCTGTTACATGAAACTTACCATTGTTGGGAACTTTCCAACTAATGGTAACTTCCATGGAAACCTTGATTTGACAGTGCCTGTTGAGTAATGTCGCCATATAGTTATATGCCATATCAATGGCAAAGTTACCATCAGTGCAAAGTTTTATGCAATTTTGCCCAGGTCCCCAAGGTGTTTACCTGACAAGCAAGTCCCCACAGGATCGGTCTGCCTAGGAACACGGCCCTTGCACCCCTTCCAAGAGCCTTGAAGACATCAGTTCCTGTCCTGACTCCTCCGTCCATGTAGACCTCAACTCCTCGACCATGTACAGCCTCGACTACCTCGGCCAATGCATCGATCTGTTCAAAAAAGATGTAACAACCATAATAGTGTTAACTCATTGTGACAGATAGCATCGACAGCTCTTGTGCCTCTCCCACGAGACTTAAAGACAACAGTTCCCGTCCTTACACCACCATCCATGTAGACCCTGGGAGCTATGTACATCACCGCTAACATAGGTGCAGAGGTGTGGATGTCTAGTGAATACGTCGCCAGACTGTGGATCACATGGTTTGCGAGTCCACCGAGGCAATATAACGTCCTTTGGCAAGACATTATTCTACATTTGCCACTCTCCATGTTAAATGGGTACCCAGTAGGATGCGAACGTTAATGTGGTTAGGTTGGCATGTGTGCACTTGTAAAATGGCGCATGGCTGAAATACTCCCCAGGGAGAAGATCGTGTGCACTATCATGTGCGTATGAACAAATATAATTCAATGACCAGGGAGGGGTGATAGTAATGACTAGACAAAGCACTTAGAAACGTAGTATAAAGCACGATACAAATGTGACTATTAATATTATTATAGGCATGGATTTACATGTACATACTGGAGCAGGTGAGCTTTCCTGCTGTCTTCCACCGTGTGCTGAAACAAGAATCCCATCCACTCCTGCGTTTGCAGCATCTGAAGCAGATTCAGCTGTACATTAATGGAAAAAAGAAAAAAAACATTTGATGCCGTTTTTTAGTTTTGTTTATACAGATATTAAAACACAACCTCAGAGAATAGCAAACGGAATCACTCTAAGGCAATTGCAGTATGTTTGTGCGTCACGTATTGAGATGTGCGAACATGACAGTGCCATAATCCACACATTATTTCAATAGGCAATAATTAAATTTAAACAATTGCCTTTCAATTGATTTCTTGAAGTTCTTTGACAATGTGCTATTTGAAGAAAAACAAATATGATGTATTTTGCATCTTTCCCCCTAAACTTTGAATGATTGTTGGATATATTTTTCATGCATTTTTCAATATGACATATCGTATGTATTTCTTGGTAATATGATCACAAAGACTTTCACAGAATCAACTTCAACTCAAGAGGGGTGTTTCACAAAGCTCCCAAGTTGAACTTGTTTCTAAGTTAGACTTAACAATTATGGAAAGCGGTTAGCATATTTGAAAATATTTTGTAAAAGTTATTTTAAAAGGCATAAAATGTTGACTCAAATCATTCATATTTTCTAGTATCAAGGAGATTTCATGTTCTTGACGTGGAATTTATAAAAAGTCTAAAATACTTGATTTCTCGCTTTCGAATATATTTTATTTTAAGGCTACAAATGGCTCTCCATAACTTTGAAGTTCAACTTAGAGTTGAGTTCGACTTAGGATCTTTGTGAAACACTTCAAGGTCTATTTCAATACCATTTTGCATTGCCCTTAGCAATCATACGATACGCCATTGTAATGCTTGCACACTTAATGGATGATGTTTATGGGTATTTTTAAAGGGGAAGTCCAACCGGATATTATCTTGCTTCAAATAAAAGCAGAAAGATGAAACCACTAATTGAAAGTTAGACCAATATCCAATTAAAAAAAAGGATAATTTGAATTTTTGAAGTTGTCATCAGTGAAACACAAATTGGCAACACTATGAGGTATCTTGTGAGCTCCTCTCCAATTTGGTCTGTACAGAAAATTTCATGAACTTTAATTTTTTTTTAATTATTGGATATTTTGTATTTGAATGATCGCACTTTCGACAATTCATACATTTTTTGTTTTCAAATGATTTTTGCTCAAACTTTCACTGACCTGTTCCTCTCTTTTTTCTGCTTCTATCTATCGAAACCAAAGACTTCCCCCTTAAAGGCTTTGTGATCATGTTGGGTGACTTTTGCATGACCCGATTTCCTCAGAATGATTACCTGTAAGTATGCCTTTGCAGACAACGGGCAAAGAAGTGACTTTCTTGATCCATCGTATGTATTCCCAAGTGGCTTTCGGGTTGTACTGCATCTCCCTCAAGTACTCAAAGTGGTTTTTGATGCTCTCCTGTTTGGCAGCACGAGCCGATGGAATGTCTGCCTCATAGACAGGCATGCTTTGTATGCAAAAGGAAAAACAAGGAATATTATTCTACAGATATTAGAATGATGTATGTAAAAATTGATCACAATAATTTATGTTCTTCAATTGCAGTTAATAAGATAGCAGCAAACGTTAACATACCGATAGGAGGGATGGTTTAACACATGGTCCTGTTCAAATAGTTCCGCCACGGCGCCAACTATACCTAGCACAGCACTTCCTTGAAAAATAAACACTCATGTGGGGTGGATGATATGTCACCATACGTTATAAAGAAGTTAATTTCCTATATTGTTGAACCTTTAACCCATGTGTTTAATTTATCATTTATGTCGGGAACATTTCCTGATTCAATGAAAGTTTCAAAAGTCATACCTTTATTTAAGAAAGGTGATATACATGATTTATCGAACTATCGCCCAATATCATTGCTTTCGACTTTTTCCAAGATTTTAGAAAGACTAATGTACAATCGATTATCTACTTTCCTTCATAAGCATTCAATTATTTTTTCGGAACAGTTTGGGTTTCGAAAATGTTATTCAACAGAGTCAGCTTTACTTTTTGCATCCGAACTTTTGTACAAATTTTATGAAAAAAAAGAGATAGCTTTAGGAGTGTATGTAGACCTTAGCAAGGCATTCGATTGTTTGGATCACAAAATCTTATTAAGAAAATTAAGTTTTTATGGAATTAGAGGCATTCCATTGGAATGGTTCCAAAGTTATCTGTCTAATAGAACACAATTTGTAAATTATAATGAATCTGACTCTGAATTGCTATTAATGAAGCAAGGTGTTCCTCAAGGTAGTATCTTGGGCCCGTTATTATTTTTGCTCTTCATAAATGACATTGTTGAGTCTTCAAGGAAATTACATTATGTACTGTATGCCGATGACACAAACATCTTCTATTCTGGTAAAAATTTGAAAGACTTAATTTTCGAAGCCAATGTTGAACTTCAAAAGGTTGCTAGCTGGTTTTCATCAAATAAATTAAAAATTAATCAGACCAAAACAAAGTTCATGATATTTAACTTTGGTAAAAAAAATGATACTTTAATTGAAAATGTTAATCTGACAATAGATGGTAACTGTATTGACCAGGTACAATTTGCCAATTTTTTAGGAGTTGCCATCGACAACAAACTTACATGGGCAAAACACATTGAATTAATTTCCAGGAAGATTCGGTCCCAAGTCGGTGTAATGAATAAGCTCAAAAGTTTTCTACCATCCTCTACCATGCTTTCTCTTTACTACACTCTCATATATCCTTACTTAACGTACTGTAATTTAGTTTGGGCGAGAACGTCTAATAATTTATTAAAGCCCCTTATCATACTTCAAAAGCGGGCTGTTCGGTTGTGCTGCAATGCTTCATTCAGGGCGCACACCTCTTCATTATTTAAATCCTTAAATTTACTCAAACTTCCAGATATTCTTTCTCAACGGACTTTATTATTTATGTACAAACTCCAAAATAATTTGCTACCAGTAACGTTTTATGACAGTTTTCATTTGAACTCGGATGTCCACTCCTTTAATACAAGAAAAAAAAATGACTTCCATCTACCAAAATTCACTAACTCATTTTTGCAAAATAAATCAATTAGATATCAAGGTCCTCACAAATGGAACTCCATGTCAAGTTATTTAAAGGGTATTAAGAACCAGAACGCATTTAAACTTAAACTGAAAAGAACAATACTTGCCACTTATTGATTTATTGAAATACATAATTGATTCATATATTTTGTTAGCATGAAACATTATTATTATTGTATTGTATTGTATTGTATTGTATCGTATTTCATCTTATTGTATTGTATAGTATCTGTATGTTTTTATGTTTGGGGTTGCTTGTTTACAAGTTTTTAACTTATTTTAGCAATCCCGGTATTTATTTATAATGATTTCATTTGTAATGATTTCATTTTGATGTTTTTATCTTTTGCCGAATAAATGTGAATTTGAATTTGAAATCAACGGTTACAACAAGTGCCTTGAATCCCAGTTTCTCTGCTTTGCGGATGGTGTATTCTGTGAGCTGGCGATCTGTAAAGGGATAGATGCCCATCCATCGGAGACCTCCTGGTGCTGCCATGGTCACGTCTTCCATGGAAGAGCCTGCATCGCAAGAGAGTACCATCAAGGCTCCTGCAGCTTCTGCAGCTGAAGATTCAAATGAAGGAAAACTGCCAACTTAATTATTATTCACCATCTTCATTGAATTAAAAAAGAAAGTGTTTAAGTCCTGCATACCAAGATTTCATAGGATCTGGTCGTAGTTTATTTTTATCAATAACAAGATACGGTAATTATTATAAGCTACTTAAATCCTTGCATTTGATTGGCTGTGAGCAGATATGTCATAGATCTGTGACAGATCGATGCTGTTGATAACAAGTTTTATGAAACTGTTTTCATCATTCTCATAAAACCAATACATATTTGTAATCATTAAGATTGGGAAAAACTACAATTATCGTGAAGTAGACAACACTAAATAAATAAAAATATGTTGCGCAATCAAATCAATAATCACAACCTAAATATCCTTTCCATGAAGTATATAATGGTTTCATGAAATTGCCCTTGCGGAGATTTTTGGTAATGTCTTTGTAATTGTGTTATGAATAAAAGAGAACCCGTTGAACATTGCAGTCAAGTATTCAGTACTAAAACTTTAAACCATTTAGTAGGCCTGAACATGATACCTTTTGCCGTTGCCTCTTCGCCGTCAGGATGAGCAAAGAAGTGACAGGCTGTAGGTGAAATACAGATTGGATATGGAATGGACTGACCAAGAACTGCTGTGGCTAGGCTACGCTTAGAAACATCCTGAAGCACCCGGCTTCTTATTCGATATCTGTTGACATGACGAGAACAATCATCAACAGTGAATCATTTGGTAACATGCAGAAAAACTATATGACTATATTAGACCTACTCATTATTTACCTTGGAGGCCGAACCATTGGAAGCTAGGCTATATAGTTCTGTACGTATTTTATTTTGTCTATTCAAATCTGTGCACTGACCAACTCTTACTGAAATAAGGCCTTACTTTGGGAGGGGGCGGAGCCTGGAGGTCGAATGTTTATTTCATGCTATCTATGGCTAATCCCACTTCCTGCATCATTAATGGCTTCCAGTACTTCGCAATTTCTTTCCACAGTCATTACCTGTTCATATTGTTCAACATGCCGATGCTACAAAGTATTTATTGAGGAAAGCACATCTTGGAAAGCTTTCAACTTGAAACATGTAACAAACATGTAGGAAAAGCTGAAGGTGCAAAAGTACTTGCAAATGTGTTATTTCCATCTGACATTATTTTTCCTTTGTCCGTTTTTTTAAATGTCTTCAATAACTACGGTAGAAGATTGGTCGCATTAAAATACGATTTCTTAATTCCAAAAAATGAACATGAGGCAATTTCAACAGCCTTGTTCATCACCTACTGAAATGTGCAACAAACATGCATTCATGGATGGAATATATAAGTCTACAAACTACAATAGGCTATATATTGATATAACCCTCGAGTTGATTTCTCGAAGGATTTTGAGATCGTGTTTGACATACCTCGAAAATGCCTCGATGCTATCCTGAAAGCACCATTTTCGTCCCATTCCGTAGTTGAAATACTCCCATGCATCTTTAACCAGTTTCTCTTTGGCGAGTCGCTCATAGTCGAGCACTGTATACAGCTCCATTTTAGACAAACTAGTATGAAAAGTTGAGACCTTTCCACACGATCATTTGAGAACCTTGGACTTATCTGTTTATTGACTTACAATATCCTGTTATTGCCCAGTGACCTCAATTGTTCGCATCGTTCATGGTATATGCTCCAATAAATATTTTCAAAAGAAAGAGAGAGAGAGAGAGAGAGATGGCGAGAGACAGAAGGGACAGGGACAGGAGTGAGAAAGCTGCACTTTGCACATTATAAATTCGCATTTATTGAAATTACCTTAGGTTGATTTTCGAAAGTTTTTGTGATCGTGATGGAATGTGACTGTGAAATCACTACAAGATTAAAAAAAAAAAAAAAAGTCATAACCAGAATTATACTGTTCATGCAATGCTACAACAGTGCACTTTAACTGTCTGATTTCTTTAAACTACACCACGATGAAAACATAAAAAAACAATAATGACATATTATTTCAAGAAGTAATTTAAAATTATTATAAGCTGGTTTATAGTCACTGTAACATGACTACAACTATACTTTCAAATATCAGTTGAAGGGCGATTCCAATACCCTATTGTATATCCTTAAAAGAAATCATGTTCGGGTTACGAATTACTTATTTGTAATGGTTTCACATTTCAATAAGTGACACATGAGGCTAATTGAATTGTCTTAGGTATACACCCCTTCGCCCAGCCATCACTCTCTCTCTCCCTCTCCCTCTTTCTATCTCAGCAAAATTGCGTATACAAATATGATTACAATTTTTTTTTAAATTCCAATTACGAATAACAAATTATCGGTTCCATATATCCTACATTATTTTGAAAGGGCAGCTAGTTTGGTCATTGACCTAATAAGGATGAACTTTCGACGTGATTCTTTCTTTGTTCCAAAGATACCCGCCGCCTTTTGATTATGTGCAACTTAATAAGAACATTCAGCGTAATAGGTTCATGGTTTGGTTAAGTAAAAGGTTCAGATCCGGTAAAGATGAAAATTAATTTGTGAGGCTGAGCATTTTCATTCTTATATGGGAAGATATCATAGTTTTCAGGTCGCATGAAAAGGATTACTCTTAAAATGCCCTTATCTTTTAAATATGTCAAGACACATTTTGAAGTGTGGACCAAATTTTGATGCCACATAAGTGTGTCATATACTTTGTGTGCAGTGCTTTCTCTCTCTATATATAATAGATATCCCGGCGAAATTTGCGAGTTTGTCATTCAAATTGATTTACTTTGCATTTTAATAAGTTTAGTAGCGCAGATCGTTTTTGTATTTAATTTGGAATTTTGGTCGAAGGGTTTGATAGATCTGTCATTCGATTTAGAAACTGCTCAACTAGCATTCAAATTAATCGTCACTTGTCGAGGTGTCATTTTTATCATTTAAATCAACACCTGTTACTCGTATTCGAAATGTTAGGGGGAAGAAATGCAACACACTTTTACAGTTTTTAAATAATGCAACTAAAATGCATGATTTGCCATTGGGGATGCAAGTCGTTTTTTTATTTTTAACAATCAAACTTATATGCCGATGAATGTCAGATAAATCTAATAACTATATAAGTGTATATTATGCTAGAAAATAAAATATGATGAAATACACATAAAAAAAAAACAATCTTGAAAGAAAAAGAATGACCTATAAAAAGTGTATAATAAACGATAAATGTATATTGAATATCAATTTAAGTGCACAAAGTGCTAATTTGAATGTTACAAATGAATTAGAATGCTAAAAGTACACCGTCGCAAAGTCAGAAAATCGTGTTGCGGCAAATCGGATGTCCAAGTGGCGACAGAAGCACATTGCTCCTGAATGAAACATACATAGATTATCACGAAAACTTCACAGATTTGAAAACTAGAAAAAGGAATATAAACACGAGATACTACCTGACAGCACTAAAACCGTCGAATTTGAATGCAAGACAAATTCATTTTAATGACAAACGAATTTGGTCGGGAAATCCGATTTTATATATTTATACACAGTATACAGTGCGACCCAGAAAAAAAACGTTTTCACTGGCTGCCTGCCGTAGCAACAAGCAGAATTGGAAAAAGCTTTAACTCCGTTTCATTGACAATCAGCCATGCATGAAGTCTTTCGTCTATGTCTGATCGTCAATGAAACGGAGTAAAGTCTTTTGCCAATTCTGTGAAAACGAACTTTTTAAATCAAATTATGGAAATGCAAGCATCACTTTAAACAAACAAATTTATCTTGATTTAGATGTCATATGAAAGAGCGAAAATGAACTTTCTAGAAATGGGAATTTTTCTTCGAAATTCAGATAGCGCCCGCCAAATGACTTTTCGGTTTCCTTCCTTCAAATTGCTTTTAATCACTCATGCGTGAAATATGCATCATATAAGTTGCATCAAATGACAGAGGAGGATCTAAGCTTTACAAATAGTATGTGTCATTTATTAATTATTATTGTGATTAAGCTATGATAAAACATCGATAATTCTCGGTTTCGTTTTTTGGGGGTGTATATATTATGAATAAATGGTCATTTTCAGCAAGAATGAGTCAATACGTTATTTGTTGATGATTCCAAATCTTATCTAAACAACTATATATATATATATATATATAAAATACCTTCTACACAATGCTATCACATAAGTACTCAAACTTTATATGTCTACGGTTTTGCAATTTTACTGCGTTATTGCGATATCCCTCTGTTCATATGATAGTATGATTCATGAACCACAGTTCCAGGTGGGATGTCGTTTGGGGATATACAACCTATGGAGAAGAAAAGAAAAAAGACAAGGTATAATACCCGACAGTCATGTTATATAAATTAAGTCCATGATGACACCTGTTAGAACAACACAATTACATATACAGTGTGAGTAAAAAAAAGTTTACACTCGGAAGATTGTCATTTATTTTAAAAGTCAGCTAAGAACAAATGATTTTCATCATACATGTTTTGAACGAGTGTTATATCCAGAATCGTTTGATATCATTTATGTGAGGTATGTGTTCAAGCTTGGATGAACAGGAGGTATTTTTTGCGACGGTGCCAAAATCGACTTGCGCAAAAGTATTAAAATGAGAGAGATGCGCAAAAGTATTAAAGTGAGAGAGAGTGAGTTGAATTTATCAAATGAGATGCATTGTATATGCTTTTTTCAGAAGCGAAGTCACACACACACACTCACATAGCACATTTAGATGCAGACTGACCGAGTCCTTTGAGAGAAACTATTCATTGTGATGTTCATGTACCAACTTTCATATGGCATTATGATATTTATTTGGAAATTTGCGATTTTACAGAAATGTTCAATACGTAATAATGACTTGGCGGCGAGTATTTTTCATTTATCTGAGTGTGCGAGTGCGCGGAAGTGTGTCTCTGTGTGGGCGTGCGTTGTGTGCGTGATTGTGTACGTGTGTGCGTGTGTGTGCGTGACTGACTGAGTGTGACTCTGTGTGTGTGTTTTGATATGTGTGGCATGATTAATTGTGTTAGGGATGTTAATACTTGGATCTGCAAAGACCGATTTAATACTCATATCCTAATTGTTTTATTCAAACATCACATAGGTATCAGTTTGTCGATTTTTGCACTCTCTTAAACGATGTCTCCTGTTCATCCAAGCATGCCCACATGCCACAAAAAATGATACGAAACAATTTGGGATTAAACATTCTTCGATAAGATGAAAAATAATTTACTGTTCATAAATAATGAGCAATTTTCTAGATGTAAACTGTTTTTTTTTTACTCACACTGTAGAGCAAAAGTACCACAATTACCAGTTGTACCATGGTAATACCGTAGTAATGCAGAAAAGAACCATGGTTAGCATTGTTACATGTTAAATAAACATGGTTATACCGTGGGTACTATGGTTCTCGTTTATATGGAAAGAACTGCAACATACTGATCAAAAAAGGACATGACCCGGATTGGCCACAAAATTGTCGTTTTGGAGTCGATATGGAGTCTGTGTTGTGGTGTGGCTGAGGTATTACTGATTATAACTTGCATGTATAACCTTGACAACTACCCCTGGTGTCTTTAAATAAATTCAGGAAGTTCCACACGATTTATAAATTTAAGACAATTATGTCTTACCAGCCAAAGCGAGGATTGCGTCAAGTTGGTCGCGAAGAATCTGAAGTACATTTGTAACCCCCTCAGGACCCTGAAGGAGCAGACAAAATTCATTGTATAGTGATCGTACTAACAAGCAATGGGTCTCTCCCTCTCTCTTACTCTCTCACTCTTTTCCAGTTGATCTTTCAATTTTAATGTACATTTAAAAACCGAATCAATGAACATAGAATCAAAATATAAAGAAATAAGAAATATTTTCCCTTTGAGTATTGCACAAAAGCAAACTAAAATTTCATATTCCGCACCCTCCAATTTATGGGGCAACAGGGGTCAATTTTTATAGATACAGTTACGACATAACATGTTGACCTGATCGGCTCGCCTATATAGCTGAGGCAAATAGCCGTGCTTAATTAATGCAAAGTCATTCTTGTTTTTAGGTCAATAACTTCTGATTTTCAAAGCTTTAGATTTTCGAGTTTTCAGAGAGCTGTTACTCTTCTAGCAAACACTAAAATGGCATGCGATTCATATGATTGTAATCTATGGCTTTTTTGTTGGTACATAATTCATCTATTTCATTTTTCACTTCCGACAGGGTCTTTAAACTTTATTTACTACATTAAATTCATTGGCCTATATCTATGCAATATTGCTTGCTGTCTATCAAATCCTAAATTCATATACTCTTTTTCCGAATTGTGGTAAAACAAGATTGTACATTGCTATATATGCCTAATTAATAGAAGCAATCTGCAAATTCACACATTATGTACCAACAATTAATTCATCTGTCATTAAAATTATAATAATAAAGAGGGGGTTTAAAGGGAGAGCTATAACAAGGGCTTAAGAAATGAGAATGCATATGTCAAGACTGCTCAAAGTTTTAATACTGTCTCATGGAAATTAATCTA